TCAGCATTTCGAAATTAATACATCAATTGTTATCTTTCATTGTATTTAACGGTTTTCCTTTTCCTTCTATTTCCATTTTTTTTAAATTCCATCTTTGTTCTTCAAACACTTACGCTTTGATTATTTCCATTAAAAAATACAGAATTAAGGATATTCTATTAAGTTAAAATTAGATAAGTGAATTTCTAAGTTAACAAAGAAATTAATCATCATTAACTATGGGCGACCATTGCAGCATCGACAAAATATACTCGCTTACTTTACGCTTCAAACATTCAATGAAATTCCATACTAATTAGACGAAGAAATTGTTAGGGGCTTCATTTTCAAAGTCATTCCTGCTTGATAAAAGAGAATTGAAGTAATATACAAAATCGACTGAGATAAAGAGATAAATAGAACACTTAATAGAGAGAGAAGTCTGCTCACAAGGAGGTAGGAAAAAGAAACAGAGAGGACTGAGAAAGTTAGGAGTTAGACAAACGAAAATGGAAGGAGAATGGGCATTGAGAGAAATACTTTGCGATGAGCTATGAAATGGTCAATTGATATGCTCTTTAAATCTTTTACTCTTATACAGTAAGAGTAAACACACACACACACACACAAACACAAACACACACACACACACACACACACACACACAAACACACATACACGGACTTTGTTTTATTTTCCTTATCTTTTAATTGTAACCCACTGGTAAATCGCCGTTCATTATGTGTGAAAACGTGTTATTATCTCTTTTTATATATACACTGAAGTTCGCCTACTTCCATGAACGAATGATGGACAGTGTGCTGGAACTAAACACTGCCTCCGAGTTGCTGTAATCAGTAGTTGTAGTGAATATGTTTCTATAGACCTTTGTTTGGATTGTTGTTTTTGATATTGTTTCTTCCTTGTGTTATTTTTGTTGCTTTTGTTTCTTTCCTTTTATCTTCTTTTTTCTTTTTTTTTTGCTCGTTCGTTGTTTTCTTCTTTGTTCGAATCGTTATGCTGCAATTAATTTAGGTATTAAGAGTGTTCCTGCATATTTTTGTTTCTGCATCTGCGGTCCATGTTTTTTGTCTTTATGCTTGTGTCCTAGTGCTAATGTTTCTGCGTCTGTGGTATAATATATTTGCTTCTGTATATGTGTTATATTGTGTCCCTGTGTATCGTTCCAATGTTCTCGTTCCTGTGTTCGTGTCAGCATTAAGGTCATCTTTGTTCCAGAGTTAGGTTTCTATCCGTTTTGTCTTTGGCGTTCATTCCTTAAATTGTTGTCTTTAGGGTATATGGCTATTTTTCTTTCTTTTTTTATTCTAGTGTGAATAAGTCCAACATTCAGTCCACGTATGTTCCAGGAAAGGATTAGAAGTTAATTAGAAGAAAAACTTGTCTATAAATCTGTTTCCATCTTCATAATTTGTCTAATAGGAGCAAGTCGTCCTGTGCATTCATGCTCTAACATGACTGTTAATCTTGTCAGGTTGTTCTGTAATATTATTGTTGATTAAATTATCTAGGAAGAGACAACTCAAAGCATTCTCATTTCCATGACTTTGAGTAAGAAATAATGTGCCATTTCATATTAAGAGAAGTAAATTCATGCGAAATATATCGAACTGAAAATAAACGAGAAGTGTGATTTTATTGTTCTTTATTTCTCTAAGGAAGATTGATTTACATTTCGAAACTACCGATTACTCAGAACTTTAAGAATCAATTTATCTGAAAACGTGAATGGAGACATCGACCAGAAACACACAAGCGAGTCTGGAAAGGTTCCAGCCAGGGCTTCTGGCAGCTAACCTCCAACTCAACTGCTATGCACGGGAGCAGAGAACCCGCGTCACTAGAGACTTCAACGGCGCCGTCCCTTTAGCAAGCAAGAACGGTCTCCAGCATGAAGAAGAGCTCGTCTCTGGGCAGAGGACAGGTTTCGAAGACGCGCTCGCACGCCTTCGGGTCGTTCTTGGCTACCTTGGCGCCGACGGAGGCAGCCAAGGCGTAGACGCCGCGGGAGGTCCTCAGCTTGAGGAACTCGGCGCTCTCGGGGTTGCCGAAGGCGGCCTTAAGGGCGGCCATGGGGGCGGACAGCTGGTCGGCGGGCAAGGATTCGAGCTCACACAGCAGCTTGGCCACGCAGCCAGCTGAGTCGATCTGCTGGGCCACATCCAAAGCTACCTGCTCGGATGAGAGGGACATTAGCCGAGGCAAGACATGGTAAACTTACTTAACATCATCAAAACACGCAACACCTTCTTTCGCAAGACATGGAGTAACTCACCTCAACAGCCTGAGCCTCTTCCTGCGTGGTGACGTCCCTCTTTCCCCTGGCGATGGCGTTGCCGATGAGAGCGCCCTTGAGCACGGCCAGGGCGCCAAGGCCGAGGTAGGCCAGCCCTGCGGCCGCGGCGGTTGCTGCCGTCGTTCCCGTGGCCAGGATGATGGTCGACTCCGTGGTGGCCAGGAGGCCGCATGCGAGCAGAGTGATAATGGCGCGGGAGTTCAT